TTGTGGGGAGCGGAGCATGGCTTTGCAAGCATCACGAGCATCTATCGGCATCAGCCAATCAAATCCAGTTTATGCAAATCCCGCCAGTGCAAGCGCAGCCAATCAAACCGCGTGCAAGCTGGGAGAGCCAGACCGCAGTTCATTTCCTCATATTCCAAACGAGATATTACGGTAGGAAATCACCCGGTTCTTTGCGACCAGAACTATTTACCGGGATACAAACCGGAGGAACCAGGCATGGAGGGAGGTGGCAGAGACAGTGGGTGAAACTGGTAGGTTTTTCGCCTGTTTGGAGAGTTTATATCCAGTTTACTTCGTTTTAACATTGCTATTGCTTTGTATGTCGGGGGGTATGTCATGTGATTGGTTTTTGGTCGCGTTGCTCGCAAAAAATCGCATAGCTTCAGACACGCCCAGCTTCAAGATTTTTTGATGCCTGTAGTGTAGACGGGCCGTTCATGTCGATGGGCTTAATCTCTTGTAACAAATGTTATGGCTACTCTCTTGGTGGAATTTCAGTCTGAAGAGCTGGAACGACCGACAGGCCAGCATTAGTAGGCCTATTCGAAGATACTCGATGCAAACGCAAAGCAGCTCTGCTTTCCTGGTTTTCCTGAGACTTCCATAGAGAACATTATATTGCACTTAATTGATCATTTGACTGTATGAGCTGACAAACACCTCAGCCAGCTCCAGTAGTAGATAGGAACTGTAAACTCACTTTTAAGAACTATTTTCTCTACCATATCCTGCTGAAAAGTACTTTTTCTGCAGTAGGCCTACATCTCAGAGGGAAATAATGTTCATATTACTGCACTGTAGGCCTATTTATCTTTCAGCTTGAGTTACATTTCACATTAAGAATAATCATTTAAGATATTATCAACACATAATTGACTATGTGAAATTATAGGTTAAGAGATTTTATTGATCCCTTGGTTACATTTACAAGCAACCCCGCAGTCGTAAAAAGAGTCATACAAATAATCTCAATCTTTACCATCTGCAACAATCAGTGTTCAGGACAATTCTTTTTGATCTTTCACTAAATTAACATATTGAATGCAGGCCCTTTACTTGCCTTAGTATGTACTGTTGAACTACCTTAAATAAAGTATGAGATCTGACACCAAGCCTCTTCAAGAAGTCAGGATTACTTTCTTGAAATGTTTCTCTGTGGCCATAACCACGCGATCCTTCATAAGGCCTTTTTTCAGAGGATTTGGGAAAGGAAGCCTGTCACTTATCACTTTGAACCCCCTTCATCATCATGTAAACTGGATTTTCATTAACTACATTAGACATCTTGCTGCCTGCAGCTAAATGCATTGATATCTGGAGGGCTATTAGTAGCTCAGATTCTGAGCAGAAAAACATTTTTACCATTAAATCACTGGTAATTGAATATGTGTAAATAATTTCCCTTTGAGGCATTCACAGGCTTCGAGTGGGGCAATTTTGTTGTTGTTGGTTAGATTCCTGAATTAAAGGTCAGTGGTTAACACAAGCTTAATATATTTTAACATTTTGTTCTAAGACATAAAACTAATCTGTAAATACCCCAACTGTACATTTCTGAATCTTCTGTGTCATAAAAAGCAAGACTAGTAAACGTCATTAAGAGCTCTGGTGAATTAAAGTTTTGCGTTAGCTATTTACTTATGGTGATTGCAGTTAGAAAATGTAAAAGTATCATAAATAATATCATCTTCAGTATCCCAAAAATCTAAATGAAAATCCCATTGCTTTTTATTGAGGTAGCTCCAGCAATGCTAACTTCCGCGTTGACCTCCAAAGTTCTGTTCAACGCTGCTGACACAGACACTCACAAATCCAGTCTTCAATGCGTTTTAAAACAATCACCATCATTTATTTACAATATATTAAACTGTAATGCAAAATGTATAACAAGTGGTCAATTTGTTCAATAATGAAAATAAACATGAACTATTTTCAAAGCTAGCATCAATCATACACATATTTATATATAAATACGGTGTGCAGTCAGCAATATTATGCCGCGCTTTTGTTTTTTTTCTGTTGAAGCGAGAAACTTTTATCAATAAGGTCAAAAACACATTTCCATACTTGTGTTGTCTGCATAGAGAATAAAAATGAAGACATGAGTATAAGAAAAGCATGTATAGTAGAATAACAACTTCTCCCATAATGAACAACATTCACACATTTTTTTTCAGCCCCAAATGCCACATCAAGCTCTCCTGGACTGTAAAAGGTTTCGCAAATATAAATAAATGTTCCTCAAATACCAGACAGATGACACAAGCTCGGGATGTAACACTTTAGCAGCCATGAAATTGCAGGTTCCTATTCTCTTGCTGTTTCGAGGCATCATTGGGTTAAAAAAGACAACCTGACAAATAAGCAGGCCTCATCTACACTGAACATGATTTCACATTATGGGTTATACAGGCTGTAGTGTGTGTCCAGTTATTGAAGTCAAGTACACAATGAGGCTCGAAGGAGAGGACCGGTGATATTCAATAGTTGTCTTATGTCATCATGAAAAGACAATGAAAGATCAATCGATCTCAATGGAAACAATGAAATTAGTGGTTGATTTACGTGTTACTTTGGTCGATTCTTACAGTCCAATTTCCTCCATTGAAAAGCAATATAAAATGCTGCTGACAAAAACTATCATAAGATGTTGAGAGGGCTGTCACTTGTTCAAAATGAGTGCATATGGTACACAAATGTGATAATTGTATCTGTAAAGATGTTTAAATGACATCACTCTGGCCTATTGAAGGTCCTGCCGCATTATCTGTAAGCTAGGCTAATGTGCTAGCCGCTAGCGCTGAATTCAGAAAACTAGCTAACAGTGCTTGATGAATTATTATGATACAAAACTATCTGAGAGGCAATGAGTAGAAGCATTTGGATTACACGGTGTTGAGGGAAAGGTTTTCCTACGTGTTGGTTGAAATTTGCTTGAATTATATTTATGGAAAGCCTAATTGTGGCGTTGCACTGTGCACTTTATCTGGCTCCTGAATCAAATGTGAATAATAGTATTGTCCAGTTAGCAAACAAGCTAACAAGCTAGCTGAGACATTATTATTGACTAACGCATTCCCAGTTGCTTTACAACTACAGTGGCTGGCAATTTAGTAAATGACTGAACGTTTTTGAAAATCGAAAACTTATTTTTGTAGGGCTTTAAAGGAAGGAACCAATTAGCTGATGGTTGAAAGTACAAGTATTTAAACTCAGATAATTTGGTCACATATACTAAGGTCTAGAAAATAGATTGTTGGTTTTGGTCCTCCCATGTGATTTGCTGACTATAAGACAAATATAGAATAACACCAGTTACTTCCTTGAACATGCTGGTTGAGGATACCATATAAATGACAAGGTGCCCAAAGTCAGGTACATTCCCCGTGGAAAAGAAAGCTCAGTGAACTCAAAACACAGACGACACGTAAAAAGACAAGCACAAGGACACACCCACAAAATCCGGAAATTATTTAGTCAAATCAAGTCGAATTAAAAGTAAGGCAAGGTCTTTTGCAGAGGTAAGCTCAAACATCATGGAAATGAATTTGATCTACGGCGGTCCTCTGCAAACAAATCTATCAAACATTAAAACAAAAGATTCAAATGCTTTTATAGCAGAACAGTTAGTGTCGCTATTGTCCTCCCATTTGAGGAAGAGATCATTTACCAGCAAAACGGCAGAAAAACGTTCTCAGGCAAACAGATAGTGAGCAGATGATGAGAGCATACAGTGCAGCAGTGAATGAAATGCCACAGCTGCAGAGGAGAACACTTACATCAGATGGCACTTGGAACTCGAAATGGAAATTAGATCGAGAAGGGAAAATAAAGGCTGCTGGGACTTTTCTCAGGACTCAATTGGCAAGAAGTAAAAACAGTGTGCTCACGTGCTGAAACAAAGGCTTTTTGGCAATACATTGTACTATGGCAATACATATTATTGTGGTGTAATATATGTTACGAAGAGAGGAAGCGTGAAAGAGACAAAGATTATCATTTCAACCTCAAGTTCTTTGGCTCACTTACAACCATACAGCCGAGCGACTGCTGCCTGCATGCGACCAGCGGAGTGGAGAATAACGGAGCTGCTGTGTGTGCACTGAGCAGAGACTGATGAAAGTCTGTCAAACTATGACCAATCCCCGGAGGATCTGCCTTACCGTAGGAAGCTCTTGTTGAGTGTTATTTAGTGTGTGGTTGTGACCGCAATCATGGTCAACTTAGCATGCAAGACAAACTGTCACAGTGCGAGAGGGTGCGTTCAGAGGTGCTGAAAGCGAGGACTACGACGAAGTCTCAAAAGGCCCGTCCTCGCCATCGTCCTCTTTCATTTGGCTGCTGTTTCTGTCACGGGAGTTAGAGCCCTGGGTCGCCCCCCCGCCTTCCTTCTCTTCTTCTTCCTCCTCTTCATCAGACCTATCGAAGTAGTAGTATTTCCGGCCAGCGGTGCTACAAGGAAAGATCGAGAAGAAGCTGATGTTATTTTCGAGAAAGTGAGCAGAGGACAGTTTGGTGTCTCAGAGAGCTCAATGCATTGCTATATAAAACCAATGTGAGGAGAGCTTAAGTAGTTCATCTAGGTTTGCTAAGAAGACTGCCTACCATTATTTGTTTGTTCTGTCAATATTCTTGATTAATAATTAAAAAAGCCTTAATCTGTTGTGTTGTACATTACTCACTGTGTACTAATAGCTGTGTTTTCTATATTAACAGGGTTTTTCTAAATTGTACATGTTGTCAAAGGGCTGATTAGGTTGTGTTCTTGTGTTACAGCATGTTGAGCTCTCATAACTACCATGAACCAGCTTGACATGTAGCTCCAGTAGGCAATACACCTCATGCAATATGCTCAGAGCATGCACAACTGTGTTCTTTTGGTTCTTTATGGAATAAAAAGGTACTTTTCTATTATTCAAAGTATTGTGAGTTTTTCCCTCGTCTCTATTTATCATAATGAACAAAAACAATACAATCCATTCAGCAGTCTACGTAAAAGCCTAACCCAGCTTCTTAGCACTATTTAACAATCAAACTGTTTAAATATTGCAAACTGGGGTTAATTACTGTCAACCATGCATATCAAATTAAAGTGTTATTTGGTGTAAATCAATGCTCGGGGTCTAATTCAAACTGCAGTTACAGGGCAGAAAGGAGAAATGTATTAAGGCCTTTCTTATTTGACTCGTGTTATTTTCAGGCCATAAATCAAAGTGACATCTTAGGAATGATTAAGGGCCGAGTTAACATGCACGCTGAATGCAGCTTCTCACCACTACACTTCCTGGCGTGAAAACATTCACAACCCCCGGCTCCCAGAGAGTCTTCAATGAAAACCTCACTTGTGAAAATAGAACCATAGAGGTTGTGGTCACTGTTTAGTAGGTGGAGTAGTAAACATCAAAAATGTTCGGCATGCCTCAGGCACATCATCAAAAACGCAACCCAAACATTTGAATTTTGAAGTGTTTAACTCTGATCCATGTCAGACTAAATGTGGAATAGTTAGTGAGCTGATTGACAAGTGAAAGTCTTTGGTTAGGTCACAACATGCTTGAAAACCACACTTCAAGCTAAGTCCATGTCAGGCATCACCTACTGCCTGCCTCAGTCACTGTCCGCCCGGTACAGGTACTTCAACATCAGGTTGTCAACCTTCTTTTTCCTCTTCTTTTCATCCTTTTTGTTAAGGCCCCCACTCGGTGGCCTAGCTTCTTCTTCTTCTTCCTTTTCTGGGCTGGAAGTCTTTCGTACCGGGGCCCTCTTCACACTGTTGGAGCTACGGTAGGAAATGGTGGAAGCACCGGAGCTCGAGTCTGAATCCGATTCAGAATCTGAAGACGCAGAAGACGAGGAAGAAGACGAAGTTTCGGCCCTCTTCTTGGACTTTTTCTTGGACTTCTTGGACTTACTCCTGGAGCTGCTCCTGGAGCTGCTCCTGTGGCGACGGTCGTCTCCTGAGCTGTCGGACTCTGAGCTGTGGCTTCTCTTCTTCTTCTTGCTCTTGCCTTTGCTCTTGCTGCGATGGCGACTGCTGTAGCTGGTGCCGCTGCGGGGAGCTCTGGTGCAGTCCACCGCCGATGCAGAACGTCTTAGACTGCTGGCAGGGCGACCAACGTCTCCGTTGCGGATACTTTTGCTGTCGTCATTATCATTCTTGGACTTGTCTTCGTCAGCCTCAGAGTCTTCCAAGCTCGTACGCTTAAACTTGATAGGTTTGAAACTCAGAACCTCGTTGATGGCTTTCTCCAGGTCAGGGTCGAGGTAGTTGCGATGACTGACTGTTTTGATATCCATGTTATCATTTGGGTCATTATCGGTAGTTGATGATCTGGCCTGTGATGGAGGCATGGAGACACTGCGGCCAGTGGACGAGTGAGGACTGTATGCTGATCTCTCGGTAAAAGCCACGCTGCGACTATCATCAATATCAACGCCAAACTCGCTCAGGCGGCTGCTACGTGCCAGGGACATGTGGGAATCAGCTCGGCTAACGCTCCCAGGGCTTCGACCGCTGGTCCGTCTGCTGAAGCAAGGGCTGCTGGGACTGCTACCATAAACTGAGCGCCCGCCTCTGCTCTCATCTAAGCGTGAGGTGCTTTGGTGGCGTCCCAGTGGGCTTGATAGACCTAAACTGATGGTAGATTTGGCGTCATTCTCGGGGCTCAATCCAAGACGCGTTGAGGCCCGACTTGGTGCAGCGTATGAAACGACTGATTCTTTGTCAAAGTCCCCCCAGCGGCTGTCCATGCCTTTCCTGGCTCGGCTATTGGCCTCTGAATAAGCCTGTGAGATGACTGAATCTCTGTCCTTCAGCGTATCCTCTGCCTGGGACTTCCGCCTGGAGTTCATTGAGTCATGCTGAAGATCAGAGTTTTTAGGTTTACCCTTATGGAAAGCATCTTCTGAGTCTGTATTCTCCCTGAGGGAACTGAAGAGGGCTTCCCCTTTGCCATCAATGTTGGAGCGTTTTCTGTAGCTGAGCGAGCTCATCACTGACATAGGCCTGCTCGGCTCTACCTCTTTGCCTTCTTTATTGAGCTCTTTCCATTCCTTACCCTCTTTCCACTCTTTCCCTTCCTTTGCGTCTACATTTGAAGCAAATCTAGAAAGAAGCCACAGTGGAAAGGACAAAGGAAAGAAGACAGGTAGGGAGAAAATGACAAAGATGAGGTCAAGTGGAGGTGAGTAAAGGAAACAAATAAAAACAAATGAATGAAATTGACAAATAAAAATAGAAAAGTCATGAAATGTAGCCAAAATGAGAGTACAGCAATGACTGAAAGACAGAGAAAGGAGAGCGTAGCTGTGAAGAATGATGAGAAACTAATAGCTTTTTTTTTTTCCTGCATTGGAATGTTAAGACATAAAAATAATTGCATTGCCCATCAATGACAGATAAAGGTCACAGTAATGATGAAGAAATGGACAAATCATGAATCCATTACAAGCTCACTTTAAAGTAATATACCGTAATTTTCGGACTATAAGCCGCGCCTTTTTCCCTCTTTTTCGACGCTGCGGCTTATATAACGGTGCGGCTAATCTATGGATTTTTACAGCTAACGGCCAACACCTTTAACTCTATGGGCTCTATGGCCGGTCCGCGGACCCCCACCTTTAAGCGGCGGGTTCCAGCAGGAAAAGCTGGAGGCCGGAAAAGAGTGAGACAGGTAGCGCGCAAAAGTAAAAGTGGAACCGAGAGTGGTANCTCAGTGAGGTAAAGGCACACCTTTATATGATCATTATAGCTATACAAAAATAAGAGAATAGATTTTCATCTATTCTCTTATAGTATAAAATACTATACGACAGTAAAATAAAGTTGTTATTAATAAACAAGAATAGAGTTTAAAAGGGGAGTGATTTGTAAAATATCCATAAAGAAAAAGAAAACCTGCTTCCAGTTCTGTTTCATATGGGTGTTGAGAGATGTATCCATAGATCTCTTAATGTTGCTCTCAAAGTGCAGCAGATTGATGCTTTTTAACTTCGATATTTAAAAAAAA